CTTACTGAAACTCTTGTAAGCAAGATCCACAAATCTGAACTGATTATGCATTCCATGACCAGAACCAAGACAATGGTTGTGTCTCATTCTTATCCAGCCCTGACCAGTTGGCGCAAGTCAGATTTCACCTGACCCCTTTAATTGTCTCCTGTGCAGTCATGCATGAAAACTAATCCAGTGACAATGTCACCAAAAGAAGCAGGAAGAGTTACTCTAAAAAGTACACTTGAAAACATCTTATCTATATTACTACAGAAAAAAAAATTATGGCCAATTTTAAAAGTGTATAGGTTTTTTTACTCGCACTGTATTTCGAAAGCAACCAAATTTGCTACATCAATGAAGTATGTCTTGGGGTGGGTGGGGTGATCGGGGCGAGTCGGGGGAGGCGTCCTCGATTTCTTGACGTGCAAGAGGCTTGATGATGGAGGAGATGCGAGGAAGTTTTCCGTACAGTTTCTTGTTTGTCGTGTGTGATTTCCATGACACATTGTATATGGCGTGAAGCATTTTCGTGTATTGCCCATCAAAGGATTTCCGAAGGGAGACATTCAGCGTCCACGAGTCGGATGGGTTCAGCTGTGGCTTTAATAATTGAAAACTTTCGTCTTCGTCTCCTTGATTGGTGCTTTCCAAAACCCTGTGTAGGGCGTTTATTGCACCCCAAATATATGCTTGGGGGTCTACCCGATGTTCCCCAATACCGATGTTCCCCGAAATCCTTAGGATTAGGGTTGGGGTTAGGTTTAGGGTTAGGGTTATAGGGTTGCAGACCAGTAAATAAACTTCCATAGACCCCAATGGTAAATGCTCCCACTTCAGAAATTCGGGAAAAATACTCACAACTCTCCAAGGTGTTCGAGACACACATCAAATTAAAGCTTATTTCATCATCTTTCATTTTCTTTTCAATTTTCAGGGGATCAACTGATGACTTTTAGGAGAAATTTCCATCCGAAGATGATCACCCCTGAAAACAGTCCTGAAGCCCATCGCCATTTTCAAAAACGATGCCTACACTCCATTGCAAAATAGAGCGCTTTATTAAAGGGCCCCAATTTCATCCAAATTGAACGGAACTACAAGCACACAGTCCTGTGCACGGCTTCCACCCATATTTTTTACAAACCCTCAAGTTCATTGCCCACAGCATGCTCAAATACTGAAGATTTTGAGGGCATGCAAATCGTGATTTGGCCGGCGTAGGCAATTTCGGACCGATTTACTGGTCTGCAACCATAGGGTAAGGATTTCGGGAACATCGGTATTGGGGAACATAGGCATGCACCCCTATGCTTGTCTTCTTGTCTTATGCGCGGAGTTCGCGATTCCGCCGAGATACTTGAAATCCTCGACGAGCGCGATGGGGAACCGTAATTTTTATGTTTAATTTTCCAAATGCCACTTTTTCATGACCGAAGTCTAATTAGTGCAAAGTGAGTGTATTTTAATAATTATTCTACATCATGCACATAAAAGTCAGACCCCAAAGAATTGTTTTTGCATGATCTCTGATCTCAATGTACGTTACTGCTATAAAGGGCAGACGCGCAGGCGCAACGGAATATAAGAAACACATCGGACAAGCATCACTCTCTAACAGTTACCATTGGGCTTGGTAAAAAGATTAAAGATGTGGTTATCCAAGTCCATCTAGAGACAGCAGGGTGTAATAAGTACACAAGACTGAATACTGCGTGACATTATGTGCACCATTAAAAAGACATATTTCTTTTCCAATATCATCATATTGCTTCTGCCAATAAAACAAGGAGAAACGAGGTCAGAGGTCACCTCAAAATTGTTTGTGGTGTCTAAATTCATAGAATGATTGTAAACCCCTGGTGCGATGCCGTTCTTGGGCACCATTGAGGCTGGGGTCACGACAAAAATGGCTTTTTGACGAATAAAATGATAAATAGCGGCAACTAAGGTATACCGAGTTCAGTGACCTCTTCAAGGGCATCACTAGGTCAAATATCATGTACTGTATCTGCAAATACATTTCATGGCACCAAGATTTAAGTTTTAGACTTGGGTCATGAAAAAAAGTGGCATTTACAATTGTGTAAATCTTATTAATATCCACAGGTAGGCTATGGTTTTACGAAGGTCATGACCTCTCGTAAGGTCACCAGAGGTTAAATATGATATGGCCTATATATATATATATATATATATATATATATATATATATATATATATATATATGACAATTCTCTTTAAAGCATGAACACCTTTCATTAGACATGAATCGTGAAAAAAAGATTGGGTTTAACGAATAAATTTTACAACTAGCTATAAACAGGTTGACAAAGGTCTTTGACCTCTCAAAGAACATCATAGGTCAGACATGAATTTTTCCCACGTCTGATCATTATTTTCATTGTATGCAGATACATGACGCAGACTTGAATAATAGGAACATGAAGTTCTGAAGAACCAAAGTTAGGATGTGTAAAGTTCATTGACCTCTCAAAGGTCACCATAGGTCAAATATGTAATGCCTCTATATCTGAAAATTGTCTTCATGGCATGAAGAACCAACGTGCAAAGTTTCATGCTTTTATCACAAATTGCAAAATCCTTTGGGCTGTGCCGCACCACTATACAGACAAACCAAGGCCCATGAAAACATAACCTCCCTTGCGGAAAGGTCACACAACGCCTAATCAAAAAAAGTAGACAAAAATGAAATATTCACATACAAAAGACAAAGATATGTAATTACAGGGTATTGCAAACGATGTACAAAAAAAGAAGATAAAAGTTGTTTATTTTAATGCCAAGTTCGAAATCAAGATACAAAATCTAGAAACAAATGCCAAACTTTTGCCAGCTGGACTAGTTTTTGATGAAAATGTTCTCGCGTACAGATAATAAGTTAACTATATAGAATGATACATATAATGTAAGTAAATGGTTGAACAAGTTTGAATTAATGTAGTACATTTTTAATGAGGTCTCAAAGTGTTAAATTTAACGCTAAAGCTTTTCAGAAACCACCGAAATCTACCACCGTTACAGAAATCCACATTGTCTGTGCTGCAATTTCATGGGCACCATGCCCGATGTTGAGTACAAATTGCCGGGCTGATCTTTTCAAGTCCTCAAACCTTTTATGTACTTTGAAGCGATCTTGGAATGCTAGGCTTAAATGCCAATTAACAACAGATTTCCCTTTAAAATGATTAACTTCATCTTTGATTCCTTTCCCACTATTTAAAGGTATCATTTTGATTATTTGAATGTTTTTAACATTATGTCTTCAAAGTTTAAGGCCCGTCTGGTAATAGATGTCACATGCAAAAGGAAGACAAACGTTTTGCATGCAAAAAAAATGAACATTTTAAATTTTTTTTATTAAAGGCGCATACATGGCGATCAAAATGTTGTGTCCGTGCAACAAGGTTGTATCTCCTAAAAAGGGCCGTATTTGAAACGCAAGTTTCAGAATGTCAAAAAGGTTGTATCTCACTTAAAATAACCCCGATGTACACACAAAGTCAATGGACGTCAAGATACGACCTTTTTGGCACGGAGCGTATTCGCGCGAGGTACGACTTTGTTGCAGGATGGAGTTATGACCTTGTTGCACTGCTGCGACGAAAAAGTAAACGTCAGTTAAAATGTGGGGAGGAGGGACCACCTATTTTTCTCCCCCCCCCCTCCAAGAAACAAAAAGGTCCCACCCCTTCTTAAACCGACCTCCAGCACACCATTTCACAAAGTGCTGCAACGCGTCACAACCTGAGTTTTGACGTGTTATACATCACATACAACTCGCGACGCAATGTACAATCCATTTCACAAAACGTGCGATGAGTTGAATGCGGCATAAGTTCCTTGACATTGGCTTACAACACGTCGCAAGTTTGTTGAGAGTTTTCATGATATTGGTGCTGGTCTAGCTCATAGAACTATATTAAATTACTACAGCGCTAACTCGATGTATAAAGTAATGCCTGATGGGCGCATCCATGTTTGTGCACAAACCTATGGAAAACTCAAAATTTTGTACGGCTTTTGTACGGCATATCTGCGTTTGTATTCCATACCGGTGCGTCATCGTAACCGATACGCCCAAAACTGAAACGCACGATCAGCAAATGAGCGTTTCATTTTGCTCTACGCAAACAGCGCAACGCGTGCGCGTCCCTCCACTGCAGTTGCTTTTCGCCGTGACGTTTTTTGAACTGTCATGACGCGCTTAAGTTGTTCGCGTATCTTCTACTTGCGCGTTGCATTTAGAGTACACTTTCAAAATTCAATCCATCTCATTTCATTATATTCTACAAACACGCACATGAATTCAACATGTCTGTGCCCAGGACAGCTTCAAAGCATCTCCGCGCGCAAGAATGAAGAGTTAGCGCTCTAGTAATTTAATATAACTCTATGGTCTAGCTGTACTTTGGAGCTGTTTCAAGATTTGCCTTTTCCAGTCCATGGCTGTACTAATTTACGACAGCACACCAAGCTAAGTTTACTTAGAATAGCTACCAAAAAAAAAAGATTCTGTTTTGGACACAGCCGTACCCCAATTCAAGTAAATTGTTTGTAATATTTTTATTAGATAAATTAGTACAACTTTTTAAATCCTAAACAAAAATCGACCATTGAGCAATGATTGAGCAATGATTTGCATTTGATCACCGCATATATGGCCCATATGTTTACAGCCCTCAGGCGAGCCATTGAACAATTTCTCGATTGTTGATTGGCTCCCTTGAAAAGCCTAGGGAGAAAATAAAGAAAACTTTAAACCGCTGATATGAAATGGCATTGGCCAAGTTCGGGCAAGGACCATTAGTCGACTAGTGGTTGATTTGTGACGTACCTTACACCTGCGCACTGATAGCAACGTGCAAACGTCTCTAGTCTCTAACGCTGGTCAAAATGTCATCGCAAAACTTCTGGATCCTGGCTCTCTGCTAGCGTTATGAATGCGCGCGGCTGTTGGTTACCAGCGATGCAACCAACCCCAGTAGGCTGGTTCCAAATAGTCGACTAGCGTAGTCAACCACCGTCGACTAGACAGAGTTCGGGCAAACGTTAGTTAACCATTGGTCAACTATAGTCCTTGCGCGAACTTTGCCTTAGATGCTAGAGCGCGTAGGCGCGCTGGTTTAAAGGTTGTGCTATTTGCGGGTGCACTATGCGAGATTCACTGTCGATTACTAGCGTCTTGCGCCAAGACTGGCTTCTCATTGCCGTTGTTGGATACGTCTACAAACAGCCCCCTCTCTTGACTTATAGCCTACATGAAGACGTGGAGGCGTCCGCTGGCGTTGCCTCCGACCAGAACGTCCCTGGTCCGGTGGAAGGCGTTGACGGAGCTGACTGATGCAAGCTCCTCATCAAGTAGACTGTGTAGCAGATGACCCTGGTCGTCAAACAAATGAATCTGTGGACGAGGAAAAAGATATTGTAGTTTGGAAAGAATAATACCGGAGTCTTACCGGAGTCTTATATAGCGCACGTATCTACCAAGAATTAGGTACTCAAGGCGCTGCAAATTATGTCTATTATAAAAGACAGGTATATAATGTTAATGAGAAATATGAGACCCATTATGTAGCAGGTATTGCGCTGCATATTGCAGCCACTGCCAGAAACACCGGGGAAAACCACTTATCTTAAGCGATAAGTGTTACTGGGTTCTTTAACGTGCATTTTAATATATACACAAAACATGGGACCTACGGCCTTACGTCCCATCCGAATCGCTAGGATAGCGCTAGGAATGCAAATTAATACTTGCAATGAAAGGAAAAAATTAAAGCGCACGGATGATTGAATTTACCATGTTAACAAATCACCGCATTTATCTTCATTGTTTGGTGGGCTAAGGTCCATGATTGTCCGCCTTCAGTGTGCAAAATCCATAAAACGTGGCATTGTTATAGTGTGGAGACCTAGTGCGCATAATGCCTGGGCCAACTGCTAGCCAAATTTCTAAACATACAGATATATGCAAGCCGCACACCAGCCAATCGGAGTCAACTTTACTAAATCATGACGTCATTTTATTCCCAAATCAGGACTGATGGTTTGATTGGTCAATTTGAACGCAGTGTTTTGTAATACAACAACAGCCGGGTGCATATTGCTTAACATGATGCAAAGTGCGTGACACAGGTTTATTTTATCCATGTCTATGACGCGCAACGGGTGAATGACCGAAGACCCGATATAGAAAGCGCCCGTTAAATTAGGCAAAATCTAGAGGTCAAGAGGCGGTTGTCTTGCATAATTAATCAGCAAATCTGATCAAATGTAATAGACCATGGTGAAAATACATTGACTACCCCCCCCCCCCCCACCCACTCCCAAAACTCACTCTTCTGGGTTTTTCCATGCTGCCAACAACGATCACGTCTTCGCGTCTCGGGTGCCAGTTCGCACGGAAGGTGGTCAACCAACGGCCGGTGTGATTGTCATGTCTACAAAAAAACAGATCGTTGGTCAAAGCAATAGAAAAAGGTTCACGAGTATCAAAAGTGCTCAAAATCTTAAGATGTGTGCTTAACAACTACCTTGACGAAGTTTTAGCTCAGTGAATGCTGTATATTCCGAGAAAAAAAATATACACTGGGATCTTAATTTCAAATCAAAGTTGCAGAGTCTTGTTTTGAATACTTGCGCTCGATATCAGCATCCGGGACACGTTTTCATTTAGCCAAATGTCTGAATTATAGCAAGTGTGTGTGCGTCACGTCAATGCTTGCGCCCTCCCATTCACGGCTTTGCCGAATTAAAAACAAACTACTAATGGAAATTTCCAAAAATACATCTTTAGATGAATGTTTGTAAATGACCTTCGATTTCATATTGTTTTCTTCAAAATGACAGCATGCCAGAACAAATACTGCAACAGGCCAGTGAGCTATTTCATAATAATTAAGTAGTTTTGTTTGTTAAAGTATGCAAATGTTGAATATTCCCTTTTAAGGCTATGAATATCAAACCAACATTTACATGCACAAAATATTGGGCCATAATAATAATGTGTATAGGTAGTGAACTGAAGTATCCAGTTGCCAAGCTTTTGCTAGGTTCACATATTCCCGATTTTTAAGCCGAACTGCCTCGAATAGCGAGTAAATCGGAGAATGGTTCTTGGCTGCCTCGGGATGATGTTAGTTCAGTGAAAGATTGTTAAAGATCGGGAAGCGCCCCGACAACTTTGGACCTGTTTATTGTTATTCTATCATATTATTCTTGTTGTATTCGTAACTACTTCTGGATATTCTTACAACATTCGCACAAGTTTCGTACAGTTATTCTTGGTCAATACAGTCCAGAATCATGCCGAATCATTAACAATGTTCCAAGAAATGTACGAATATTATAACTTACGAATACACTATACGGGCATAATTCTGGGTCATTCTGGATGATTCTGGAGTTATTTGTATAAATCCTTGACAAAATCGCTACAATTTGGTTTTATGCTGTACAAAATTGCAATAACTCAGCTTGCTTCGGCCTGATACGGCTTCCAATCCATACCTAGTTCTCGATTGTTTTTATTTCATTCTCACGTTATTCTTACAAACAGCGAATCAGGGCTAATTTCTCCCGATGCCATCAACAATTTTTATTCGGGATAGATCGGGGTATCTTCATGGCAATAACTTGGGAATGTATGAACCTAGCATTACATAGTTTAATTCAGTAGTGACTAAGAAACTGATAGACTCTCACCTGATTGCTTTCTGAACTTCCATGTTTCCGCTCTCGTCGACCTGAAGAATCCTGTGCAAAGAAGTGAAACGTACCTTCAGTTACAATCAGCCAGAAGGTCGTAGGTTCAAGCCCCTCTCCAGTCAATTTCTTTGCTCAACTTTTCAACTATTTTTAATATGTTAGTCTTTTTTTCCATTAAATTTGCCGCTTGTGATTCTTAAATGCCGAAACGGTTTTGCATCAATTTATAAATGGGCTAATCTTTCTATTTAAGTTGTTTTGTTCTGAGGTTTAATATATATATATATATTTTGGTTTTCTGAAAGGTTTTTCAGGTTTTTAAAGGTATAGTCCCTCATTTGTAATTTCTGCATTTTGTTCGTTTGAAGCAACAAAAGTATTAAAAATCTAAAGAAGGGTGCTGAACAACTAAGCTGATGAAGTTTCAGCTCAGCTTCAGCTGTATACTTTGAGATAAACAGCATTCTGGGATCTCGATTTCAAATCAAAAGTTGCTGAATCATGTTTTGAATTGGGCCTGAATTCTGCGTCTGAGACACGTTCTCACTGAGCCGATTGTAGCTACGCGATGTCGCGCACCGATCCGATGAATTATAGCAGCCGCGTGCGCGTGTACATCGTGCCAACGCTTGCGCGCGCTTCGCCTAATAAAAAAACAGCGAACTACTAACGGAAATTTCGAACGGTAAAGACGCACCGTTGGAAAGGCCTTCTTTCGTTGATTTCTTCAAAAGGACAGCTTGCCAGAGAGAATAATCTCACAGGGAGTTTAGTCCCCTTACTATCTTTCAACCAGTATGTATTTCAACAATAATTACGTCGGTTACTTTTTGGATAGCTGCAAATAATAATAATAATAATAATTTGGGAGGCTAATCATCCTTACTCGCAGCTGGGATGCTGAATTGCGAAGGACGCAGCTACAACGTGGTCGGGCCGCTGGCACGTAAAGGCGCCTCTGGCTGCCGGCCACATCGACCCATATAAGACCACGGAGCACAGCCTGAGATCGAAAGTGTTTGATTTTTCCGGAGGGAGGAAAACCGAAGGGCCCGGAGAAAAACCCTCGTGGCACAGGAGAGGACCAACGCACAACTCTACTCACATGCGATCCGCGGCCAGGATTCGAACCGTGGTCACCTTGGTGAGAGGCGAGCGCTTGACGCACAAGCCACCCGTGATGGACTGTAGCTTTAATTGTGTTGAATGAGGGTCATTCCATGTCAGACCAACGCACTTTTTTACCTCATGTCTTCCGATTTTAATAAAAATGGCTGTGCTTGTAGGTCCTAATGAGCAATGAATACACACCAATTTTTAGCCCGATCCGACCTACCATGTGGTCAGGGCAGAAGCCACAAAAAAATGGCATTTTTAGAGTAAAATACCACCCTTTTGGTATAAATATGTCAAAACTATGGCAATTTTCATCGAATATATGTGAATTTGGTATTAAAATAATGAGGATTGCATGCTCAAATCACTTCTTTTGTCAAAATTAAATTTTGTGAAAAGTAGGTCACGTGACCTTTAATATGCTATCGTGACATTTGACCCACATTTTGTAATAATGTATCATTCCGAAAATCAACGAAATAAAAATAACTTGCTAGAGCATGTCTTCCTCTATCAGAATCTACTAAAAATCAGTTGGGTCTTCAAAATTTACAACTTTATGACTATTTTTGTACAGTTGGTAGTTTACAAATGAGTCAATTTATAGACTTTACATAAGAAATACACCAACACAACTTACTATTCCGTTTCTAAAGTTACTAAAATATATCTTGGTTTGTGAATTTCTCATTCTGAGGGCTGATGAGGTCTAACCAGACTCATAGTGTAAATTATCAGCAGTGGCGCACCCAGGATTTGGCTTTTGGTGGGGGGGGGGGGTCATAAATCGTTTTTTGTTCGAATTTCTGTAAAAGATTGGACCAACAAAAACTAGCCTAAAATCAAACAAACAAATTGACAATGTTGGGGGTGGGTTCAAGCCCCCCCCCCCCCCCCTCCTGGGTGCCACTGATAATTAGTTATCCCACGAGCGCGCTTGGAATATGAAATAATGCAATGCTGCTGTGACCCATATGCCACTCGATGCACTACATAATTCCGTGTTCCACGAACGCAAGTGGGATTTATAACCAATTTATCTTCAAGCAAACTTGATATCAAATGCGTACACGCGGTGAAGATGTACGTGCATACATGTAGTGTATTGGTCCGTTCTGCAGGAAATAACACAACATATGTACACGTACATTTTTAATATCTGGGGTGCAATATAGCTGTGCAATATTATATAAAATCACACAGTTGTTGCTATAGATGGACTAATCAGGGTCTAGGATTCAAGTTTGCTTGAAGATAATACTTAATATTACAATCAAAGTTACCTTTACTCATTCATCACTGTGCTTCTTGAACTTTAATGACTCTCACAGACTTGGCATTTTGTTCCTTTGATATGAATTTCACCTGGACGTGAGTCCGCTGTACTGGGTGAAGGCCTGGTTACTGTTAGTGGTTAGCACACTTCAGATATTCTGATTAGACAGTTTCTTTGGAATCAGAAGGTAGAATTTTGTTTTTCCTGGCTTTGTACTTTATACATAAAAATCTAGATTAATTTTAGTAACTTAAGAAACAGATTAGTAAGTTGTGTTGGTGTATTTCTTATGTAAAGTCTATAAATTGACTCATTTGTAAACTACCAACTGTACAAAAATAGTCACAAAGTTGTAAATTTTGAAGACCCCAACTGATTTTTAGTAGATTCTGATAGAGGAAGACATGCTCTAGCAAGTTATTTTTATTTCGTTGATTTTCGGAATGATACATTATTACAAAAATTGGGTCAAAGGTCACGATAGCATATTAAAGGTCACGTGACCTACTTTTCACAAAATTTAATTTTGACAAAAGAAGTGATTTGAGCATGCAATCCTCATTATTTTAATACCAAATTCACATATATTCGAAGAAAATTGCCATAGTTTTGACATATTTATACCAAAAGGGTGGTATTTTACTCTAAAAATGCCATTTTTTGTGGCTTCTGCCCTGACCACATGGTAGGTCGGATCGGGCTAAAAATTGGTGTGTATTCATTGCTCATTAGGACCTACAAGCACAGCAATTTTTATCAAAATCGGAAGACATGAGGTAAAAAAGTGCGTTGGTCTGACATGGAATGACCCATGAATGTTATTGCACCTCGAGCATCATTTTGAAGGATTTGGCACTAAATAAGATTATTTTTAATATTACATCAATTTTCCTTACAAAAATTACTGCTCACGAGTGCCTGCTTCTGCTCATGCCATGACGAGTACTCGAGTAGATGAAACATCACAAGGAAAACAACGAGTAGCAAAAACTACTCATGAGTACTCGAGTTCTCTCTCGAGTACTTACCCGCCCAGCAGTAGCAATCTTCCCTAAAGGAAAAAAAACAAAACAGGCTTGCGTACCTAATTCTGTCATCATATGATGTCGTCACCACCTTGCTTCCAGTGATAGGGGAGAAGTACGCACCAGACACGGACCGGCCGTGGGTCACTGAGGAGATGTACTGGTTCTTGCTACGTTCCTTGAGCGACCGCAAATCCCACAATGCTACAGTGCTATGGTGTAACAAATAATAAAACAAAAATAGGTAAAGAAAGGTATTGGTAACGGGCATGCAGCTAAAGGCCGCGGTTATAACGTTGAGCCCTGGAACAACTTATTGTTTAGAAATGCCGCGTTGAATTTACAAAATGACTCATATCCGAGTTAAGACTTTATTATTGTTAGTTGTTTTGGCAAAAACAGCCTTTGTTTTCGTTAAATTTATTTTTAGCAGCATTTTCCCATAGCATTTGCACACGTTTGAGCACTAAAATCAATCTGATTTTCTTTTTACTTGGCACAGACTTAGATCAACACCTGCAGGATATGTGCCGAACATTGACAAGTCCGATTGGGTTGAAAGTTGGTGTGTACCTAGACCGGTATATGTGCTTTATATGAAAATTGAAGTGGCGTCATGATGATGTCATCACATGTCATGTGATGTCACATTAACCCTTTTCTTACCATGGGCGACTTTTGTCGACAAGAACTACCCCCATGCTGGTTCCCATGGGCGACTTTAGTCGACCAGGAAACCACACACAAAACATTCTGAACACAGACATATTCACTACTTTTCAGAAAGGCGGCATGTTGATATGTTTGGCTGCCCATACATCAACTATATACCAGCTGAAAGAGTGTTTTCGGATCTTTCTTTTGGTGTGGTTTATACATAGTGTTACCATTACAAAAAAATGAGAAAAGTGCTTCAGAAGTATCCACGCACAATTTGAGGTATGGAGTGCCATTTGGTCATGTGGTGAAATGGCTTGCAGTTTGATAATTAGGACCAGATGAACGAAAAAGGCATAACTTTCTTATATGTGCACATATGGACATCATTTTTACATCACATAAAAGAGTAAGGTTTAAGGAACAAACTTTACACACAACACCTATGATTTCAATCACTCCTTGGCAGTGAAAATCTGGGTTGAAAAAAGTTAGTTTTTGACTCGTGCTCATTTTTTTCACGCTCTAGTGATTCCTGCATGACTGAGCAAACAATTTGGTCCTGGGGAGAGCCAAGTCAATAAACAATGAGGGCATGAAAGGGTTAAAGGTGCATTTTTTTAAGGCATACATCAGCAGAACTAAAGGTCCGATTTGATAGTAACTCAGTATGTACTTTTATTGGGATGTGCAATTACTATCAGTCTATATAACATGACTTGAACATGGAATTGCACTTTGTGGATTGACTCTAAACAGGACAAGCGTATTCTACAGTCGGCGTACATAATGCTATAAAGCTTGTATACGTTATTGTGCGATCACTCATTCTCTTGTTGCACTGACGCTATGACTTTTATGGTTAATACTGTGGCGGGAATATCTGTGACCCGATCCGTAGTCCCTTTACCCAGACAACCTAGCTTAGGATCAGTACCCCAGCAGCCGGGAATGCAGGCCCGTTTGGATGGAAATATACCGCCCTATACGCGTAGCGGCACTCACCCACGCCCCTCAACCTCCAAGATGGACAAGGACAACAATTAAGTACACAACAGTCAATGACCTCAATTACTGATTGATTTATTTACACCGAATTATGTCTTAATGATGGACCTCTCGTTAAAATAGCCTCTAATAAGTGATTGGTCTCTGAGCCTCTCAATTATCTCTATGCGTAGCCTCGCATTAGCCGCTACGGTAAGGCAGTGCTGGGCAGCACGGCGATGCCTGGCTGGGGATAGCCTCGTGAATCCCGTGAACCGTACGCCTCTAGATAGCGTTCCTGTGCGTATTCCGCCTCCACCATCCCGCCCTCGACCGCGCCACCCGGCGTTTCCAGTCTCGATCCTTCCTTGAGGTGGCGGGTAGGTGAGCGCACACTCCCGGCCCCATCCTTCAATCGGCAGGTAGCTGTACATCGCTCCGCCTCCAGTAGCCTCCGCGGACTCCGTGCCTCCTTATTCCAGCCTGACTCCACCGCACCACCCAGCACGCCGTCAGCGCACGTAATAGCGTGAGCTCTTATGAGGGCTGGGTCTCCGTCTGCGTCTACATGTACGTCTCCTCTAGCAACTGCCCCGCGGCCTCTTATATAGGGGCCCGCAGCCGCTAGCGCGCCCTCTTTGGACTCTGCCGCTATAGTAATTTTCGCCACAATACTCACCTGTCAGTGGAACCTGTCACAAAGTACTCTGGCTTGGTGGGATGCACGTGTACAGTTTTCACGTTTCGGTCATGCAGCCAAAACCCACACATATTAGAACCGTTACTGCAGAGGAAACAACAAATAAATTGAACAAAAAAAATTAGTTGACATGCATACTACACAAATGTGCATGTTCAATCTCTTTCTGTTTCTGTTAAAAACATGACAAAGAATACAGATAAGTATGACTGATAATTATTTACAATAAGTGCATCGGACCCGGGTACCCGAGTACCCGACCGTTGATGTCAGGAACCGGTTCCAGATTATGTGATTGGGTACCCGTAACCAACTTTGCAAATAACTGAGTTACTTCTCAGACAATGAAAAAGAAAGGTTTTGAATGTCAGTGGAATACTTTCAAAATGCAAAACAGGATAGTGGAAAACCAAAACCAATTTCACGCTTTATGATGCTTGCGAAAGTTGCAGTTTTCACCACATAGTTAAAGAGCTCACTGTATACACCCTATCTAGCTTTATTGCCGCACCGATGTGGTACGGTAGTAGTGACCTATCGCCATTTGCGAGTTAGCCATGCCCCTTAATAGACAACCATATGGAGTTTTTGCACGCTAAGTTTTTCTTGTCTCAGATTTTGTGGGTTCGCGTCCATTTGTATATCATGTAATTGGACAATACTTCACAAGCTGCGTTGACTTGATTCTAATGCGATTCTACCGCGATGGGTCAATTATCATGCGGACCTTTATGAACAATCTGAACAGCAAATTCCTAGATTTGAATTTTTGGCTTGGGTTTCTTTAACGGATACCCGGGCACCTGAATTTTTTCAATAGGGTACCCGGTTCCTGTACTACCCGTCAATGCACACCCTACTCCAGAGGGATATTTTTTCGAGGGCACCCTGTACAGGTAAAAGGTTACACTGACTTTGTACCTTCTTAGTCTGGAGTCGACCACCTGAACATATCCTCTCCTTGCGTTTTGGCTCACGAGCAGCTTCACGCCGTCAGGGGACAGGAAATCAAAATAGCTGCAGTAGACGTCCCCGTCAATATCTGTGGCATGGATCTAATTCAAATACATAAACACACCAATGAAAATTCAAATCTGGTTGCATCTGTTTCAATGCGTCAGTTTTGTATCAGATGTCTTTGACACATTTAACACCAAATTTTTAAAAGTTTGGAAGATTTGGTCTAACAACATGTAAAGATTAAACTTATGAAATGAAATGTTAGTATTTTTTGTGTTGGGTGTGCACAGGGAAAGCACGCATGCTATGGACAGTGGTGTGAATTATTAGCCTAATGACAACAATAACAAAATGAAAGTAATAACATTCAGAGAAATCAGAGGTTACACTTATAAGCTGCCTTCAGGTTGACCTGTGATTTTCTTGCGCCACGAGGGACCCATCCGTATCGAGCAGAAAAATAATGTTCACAAAACTGCTCACAAAACAGAGAAATTGTGTGATTCTCGTGGAAAAAGCGGCATCTCGACACAAAATAATCGCAACCATGCTCATGCCACCCATGATGCGACAACAATTCCGAGGCATAGATAGTTATGTGACTTCTTTAGCAATAGCGGTTGAAGTGTGTTGATTCACGATCAAACAACATTCCACTGGTAAAACTGTTCATTCAGCTGGTTTTTTTTTTTGCCTCACGCTGATTGGCTACATATCTGCGATTGATTTCCGCCTGTCGGGAACACGTTGCACCAGTTAAAAATTGTTCAACTCTTGCGACTGTCGATTTTGTTTAGCACTGACTGATGCCGATCAGATGTACATCAGATTCTAACCTGCCAACCGATCCCGTTAGCTCGGTGGTCAAGTGGTAAGATGTCTGCACTAGAAAGCAGGAGGTCGTGGGTTCGAGTCCCACCCGAGTGATTTTTTTCCAACTTTCACTCAGGAGGTAACACACTGAGTATACAGTGTTTATACGTCAGTGAAGTGCAAAACCTAGTTTGATGTCGATCATCTTAGTATCATCGCAGTTTCGCTTCGGTCGCAAAAAATCAGCGATAGGGGTTGTTCCTGACGACCATAGCTCATTAGTCATAGGTCGTGAGGGCGGCTTTAGAAGATCTGATTAATTTCTTGCAGAGTGAGTAACAAATTGTATCCTTTTGACTCGAAACAATTTTTTTCCAACCTCCATGAACAAATGGCACACCAAGTTTCACTTTAAGGGCCATCCATCCAACCCACCAATAAGCCAATTTAGTATTTCAATTGTACACCTGCATTAAAATATAAAGTAAGCTTCACTTACATGTACTCAGGTTAGCTAAACAAACTCGCCCATTGCTGGGAATGAAATATCAAATTGGATTATTTGGGTGGCATGGCTGGCTTGTGCGTAAAGCGCTCGCCTCTCACCAAGGTGACAACGGTTCAAATCCTGGCCACGGATCACATGTGAGTAGAGTTGTGCGTTGGTTCTCTCCTGTGCCACGAGGGTTTTGCTCCGGGCCCTCCGGTTTTCCTCCCTCCGGAAAAATCAAACACTTTCGATCTCAGGCTGTGCTCCGTGGTCATATATGGGTCGATGTGGCCGGCAGCAATAGGCGCCTTTACGTGCCAGCGGCCCGACCATGTTCTAGCCGCGTCCTTCGCAATTCAGCATACCAGCTGCGAGTAAGGATGATTAGCCTCCCAAATTATTTTATTATTATTAGATAGATGTTAGAAGACAAATGGTCTTTCTCACCTCGTCAAAGATGCCCCTCTCAAAGTCGCCACAGCGGACCGTGCCATCATAGCTGCTGGAGTAGAGCTTGGTGGGGTTGCCATGGGCAAATTGGAGGCAGCTGACAGGACGGGAATGCGGCTGAAATAGGTACACACCGTCATCACCGTCTTGAGAGTCCTTTAATCAAGAGCAAATTCCACACAGTTGCTCAGAACAGAATTAATTACAGTTAAAGGTATAGTCCATCATTTGCAGCTATCCAAAAAGTAACTGATGTAATTATCATTGAAAAGCATACTGGTTTTAAGATAGTAATGGGACTAAACTCCCTGTGAAATTTTTCTTTCTGGCAAGTGGCAAGCTGTCGTTTTGAAGAAATCAATGAAAGAAGGCCCTTCCAACAATGCGTTTTAAGACGCATCGTTGGAAATTTCCATTAGTAGTTCATTGCTTTATTCGGCAAAATGCGCGCAAGCCTTGACACGACGCACACGCGCGCGCAGTTGCTATAATTCGTCAGATCAGTGCGCGACATCACGTAGCTGCAATCGGCTCAGTGAGAACATGTCTCGGACACTGAATCAGGCCCATTTCAAAACAAGATTTAGCATCTGTTGATTTGAAATCCAGATCCTAGAATGTTATTTTTCTCAAAATAGACAGCTGAAGCTGGGCTGAAACTTCATCAGGTTTGTTTTTTCAACACCCTTCTTTAGACTTTGAGCACGTTTGCTGCTTCAAACAAATATAATTCATAAATTACAAATGGTGGACTGTATCTTAAAAGCCTAACGTACTAATTCATAAATACCTGAGACATTTTACCTATTCTTATTGGTTGAGAGCCAATCACATGGGCAGTCTTAAACTGCCGTCTTAAACAACGCTAAACGACCTTTAAAATGTGCGTCTGAAACTGCGCTCTGCACCACATGCGCGCAGAAGGCGCCATGCGCCAGCTACTGCCTGTACATTGCCAGTGCGGCACACACAATAAAAGTGTCCTGATCTGAGCATGCAGTAAAATAGTAGAACAAAATCATTAAAAAGTTGTCAACTTTTCGGCTTTTTATGGCTTTCTCAAAAATTGATTGGGGATAATAATGTGATGGAGCAGTTATACATTGTGTAGGGGCGGTTTGCAGAATTTTAGGTATGTTTTTAATTTTTTTTCGGTTTTTGCTTCAAAAATCTGAAAGGAATCGGAGAGGCTTCCAGCGAAATGCCAATGAGGTTAAATCCAAGTTAACAAAAAAACGAAAACTTATTTTTTTTAAAAGAACTTACCACGTCCCAGGCACCAATACCCCCTGTTTTGTCACCAGCACAGGCGATGATTTTGGATGGAGAGGGATGAATGGCGACCGAGCTAATTCGTTTTTTCGTCACCTTGGCGAAGCCTCCTGGACCCAGACTTAAACTTTGCAATGTCTTTGTGAATGTGGCAAGGTCCGGTTCCTGGACTTCTTTCTTGGGCGACTTGTTTGGAGACTTTGAGAGACTCGTGATGGATTTGAACAGGCGCAATGCCGAATTCTCCCCACCGTCTTCGCCAAGGTTGATGGGCTCCATGTCAAAGGGACCTGATGGCTTCCGAGCCTGGACCAAACAGATTTGAGGACAAACTAGATTTATGTTTGTGGGCAAACACATGGCTGTTTAGGCAATTTCTTGTATCTTTAACACATCCCGGTCTAGGTACATACCATCTTTCAACCCAATCGGACCTGTCGTTCTGTAGATAAAGGCCTTCAAAACATGCACCTTCACTGTAACCTCACATTTCATTTGATGACGTCATGATGATGTCACTTCAATTTTCACCTTTAACACATCCCGGTCTAGGTATACATACCAACTTTCAACCCAATCGGACCTGTAGTTCTGTAGATATACCAGGAGGACTACAAAACATGCTCCTTCACTGCGACGTCACATGTCACATGATGACGTCATCATGACATCACTTCAATTTTCATCTATAACACATCCCGGTCTCGATATCAACCAACTTTCAACCAAATCGGACTTGTAGTTCTGTAGATATAGACCTTCAAAATATGCAACTTTAGTATGACGTCACGTGTCATGTGATGACGTCACTACAATTTTCATCTTTAAACACATCCCGGTTTAGGTACATATTAACTTTCAACCCAATCAGACCGGTGGTTATGTAGCTATAGGCCTTCAAAATATGCACCTTTATTGTGATGTCACATGACTCATGATGACGTCATGATGATGTCAATGTTCGGCACACAGCGGCAGGTGCTGGTTCAAGTATGTGCCAAGTATAAAGGCAATCGGATTGATTTTAGTGCCCAAAGTGCCTTCCATGATGAAAACGTCACAGACATCACACTTTCTTTCATAATGCTGCAACTGCACCCCCCCGACAAGAAGAATACATACGTAAAGATCTTCAGCGTAGACAGGCTCAGGTAGTTCAGGCAGTGCCACTCCCTCTGGATCCATCCGCCGGATTCGCAAGGAAAGAGGTCGTCTGGGGAGGACCTCTTTCTCTTTAAATTCTCTGCAAAGAAAAAATTTAAACATGTCTGGAAACTACAAACTCTCTTAAACCCCAGTCGCACATTTACTGTTGGAGCTACGAACATCCACGGTTTACCAAGAATCAACGATGAACCGTCGAGATTTTTGTGGAGAAATCGGCTTTTTAAGAATGCACTACGGTTTAAGGACGGATAGCCACGACTGTCCTATGGTGGTTTCTCTATGGATACACCACGGTTTGTCAAGAATATGACCGATTGGCGAAGAATATGGACGGTATTACTAAGAATAATGACGTTAATGCCACAGGTGTCTGCGATTGGGCCACGGATGACAAAGGTTCTCCTACGAATAAAGCGTGGATATTGGCAGTACAACCTTAGCAGAAGCCTAGCACATCCGGGCATATACACAGGACATTCGTAGCGAATTCGTAGAGATTTCTACGACGAATGAGCTACGAATCTCCAAGAATATGTGTGAATATCCACGAAAAACACTATGAATCAGTACGGTTGTCCTACCGATGTCCCACGGTTGCACTACGGATTGATTTTCATGACGTTTCGCCACAGAAGTTATGAACAGTTTAAAACTTCCGTAGCCCCTTCACCAATGCCCAACGAAGATGACGGATAAGTACGGATATATGTATATGTACTAAGGATGAATATGGTACTCCCACAGTTTATCGAGACTTTCAAACCGTGGAGATCTGTAGCTCCAAACCGTAAATGTGCGATTAGTGCTTTAGCTAAAGTTGTGTTGTAGTCCAGGTACATGGAGTGCCGTGGCCTCGTGGTCTGGGGCATTGAATTCGTGGTCTGTGGGTAATTCTGCAGGTTGTGGGTTCGAGTCCAGCCTGCAGCTATGGTGCGTGTGCCCTTGGGCAAGGCACTTTGTCACTCATTGCTTCTTCCCACCCGGAAGTAAATCGGGTACCTGTGGGGTACTTGATTTATTTCTCATACAGTAAACTCCAGCCAAGTCGACATCGTACAAATTGCCAAATTGCTCAAGTCGGCCGTCTGACAAAATTCCTGATCGTTTTTGATACATTTCCATGGAAAGTTTTAGTTCTAGTCAGCTGTTATAAGGCGAATTAAAAAAAACAAAACATGTTTAGCGTCCTGCCTTTTTGAAAAAAAGGAAGCGGTAGGCCCTTTTTTTCCCCTCTGCAACAGATAAAGAGACCAAAATGATGTCACTGAACTATTTTCCAGATGGCCGCAAATTTGACTTTTTAAATGATCACCATTGGACTCAGGAAATGCCACAACAGCTTTATATGGGCTATATGCAATGGATAAAGACACCCAAAATGATGTCACTGTTGAAACTTTATCATTTTTTCGGTTTAACAAAAAAGGAGGCGGCCTCCAAAAAGGAAGCAGGCGGGGACACTAAACATGCTTCTTTTTTTTATATTTTGCCTAAGTCGCCTTTTCACTCAAGTCCGCGTGTTACTCTCGGTCCCCTTTCCACAAAAGTCTCTGATAAGTCAAATGGGCAAGATATTCATATACCAAGAGGACCACCAGCAAGTGAATGCAGTTACAATCAGAGACCATGGACAAAATTGGGGGATGTTCCAGTTGTTCTCAAGACTTCTTTTATTTTTAAGGTTAGGCTGTTTCCAAACTCAGAGCCGAATAATGGGATTCAAACCAAATTTTCTAAAATTCAGATTTAAATCCCACCAACATATGAAATAAACCATTTACTTCACACTTGCATGTAAGCAATTAAAGCAATAAGGCTGTTCTTACCTTTTAAGGCCTTTTGTAGCATTTTTCGCAGATTTTTGCGACATATTTTCCTTGGTCTGTCAATTTCAAAAAGAAAATATGTATAAAGACAATCTTCCAAAATCATTATTTGAAATTTAGGATGGTACAAACAACTCTAAACGTAAGACAGATCATTTGAGAAATATCAATTGAAAGTTCAAGCTCGATTTTCGAGGAGTCAAAATGTTGACCCCTGAAATTTGTTATCGCGAGAATGTATAGCATAAAAACGGCTCACTAAAGTATGATTGTGTGGATGTTGATATGCTACTTTTAAATGCTCTTTCAAACTGATATAATTTTATGAATAATGCGTTGTGTAGCATCATTTGTTGCTTTCCACGACGCAGTGTCCCTTGAGGTCAGACAAATATGCCTTGTTGCCCTCAAAAAGGATTTATTTTAGTGGAAATCAAAGCTTCTCAATGTACCTTTGCAATGCCCAGGGAAGCGAAAAATTTGGCGTTCTCCTGAATGTTCTGTAGTCGCTTCTTCTCGTATGCTGACATCTCCCCCTGGAAACGGAAGAGCAGAGGAAATTTTAAAAAAAATAGGGCAACAGAATTTTTTGAAACAATTTTGTAGATTACAAAAAAAATTGCATCCTAAACTATACGGCATCTCTATTGCAAGAAACTTGCATAAGCAGGAAACTTGCATTTTCCAACTCATTCTACAAGGAGGGTATAGACCTTTATCATGCTGCCACCATTTCAGTCATATTCCCTGTATCCCATAACAGTACTGAATGATAATTTGTTTTGTGCAAAAAGGAACCAGACTATTTTGTCCTTCTCAGCCGCGCTTTGGTTACATTGATTTGAATGAGGAAAAAGTCAATTACTGCAACATGATAATGGTGTATTGGCATGTTGAGCTGAAAAGCAATTTAAACAAAATGACACACAAACTAGAGGTCGGAGCCAACGACGCATTGTCGCTTACGTCAGATTCATCTGAATCTTCATCGTCACGGATACGGTTGCCAGGCAACACTGCCTCCTCCGCTTCCTCCTCCTCCTCTTCTTCTTTTACTTCCTCCTTGATTTCCACTTCTTCTTTCCTGACATTGGTGGACTTGATTCTAGCTGATGTTCTCTGTGGCTGGAGGACGTTCTCATGCTTGATGCCGTGGGCAACTTTCTTCCCGGATGCCTCTCCACTGATGCTGCCAATCTATTAACAATCCCATAAAGAAATAACGGAACAGAAATTCATAGCGACAAAGGAAATCAACATTTCAAAGCTTATTGTCAGACAACTCTAAGGGATCCAGGATGTTTTTTTCAGAGAATGAGGTTATGGACAGCAATCCCAGGCGGAAGGGAAGGGGGGGTGTGGATATTTATATCTTTGGGGTGAGGGTGAGGGATACCAATGGCAACCCATCATCATCAATCATCAAAGGGCGGCCGCAGATGCAACCAAACTCTTCCAGACTCTCTTGTCCGCCATGGCCCTGGTGATGTCATCAACGTGCTGGCTCACATCATTGCATACAGTGTCGACGTAGTTGAGGGGTCTCCTCCCTCTGTTGGGGCAAGGCAATCCCCAGCAGATGAGGTCCGAGATAGCTTGCTCTTTGGCTCTGTAGCAGTGGCTGGCAAGGCAGGCTCTGCGTTGTGCTAATGTAGTTGAGATAGGTTGGATGCTGCCGTATATTTCTGCCTATGTCTTACGTTCCTTCCAGGAAATGGTTTGTGCTCTTATAAGGAGGCGAGTGTAGTTGCCATCTAGTCTCTGTTTGAGCTGCTCTCATCAACCTTCCAAACTATTTTTTTTTCTTTGGCTGGGTGTGGGGTGGGGTGGGGGGGGGGGAGGGCATATAGGGTAAGACTAAGAGGGGGTCTCTTTGCCCCAGGGATAGTCGGACCAGTTTCTATCATTTTTTTTAATAGACACCTTAGGTCTACTCTGACCTCTTACTAGGGTTGATTATATGCTGCAAACTAACTACATGTATGTGCAAATGCGAGGTGATGTTATTAACCCTAACTCCCCAGCCTAATTTATTAGGAACCATACCCATTCTGGCAAATTCCAACACCCACATGGGAAATTGTACACACACAAACACATTGTTGGACTTTGTTTCTGGAAGTACATATGCCAACATGCCAACCCCAGTGTAAAAGACCATCAGTTTAGGGGAACTTTCCCTATCCCAACAGATTTAAACAAAACCTGTTGTTGACTTTGATGGGTTGAAATCAGCTAGGGTTAATAAGTAATTATAAGAATGTTGCATCCTGACAGTGACACATAGCCCATAGGCCCATGACTAGGTCAGTCATGTTTCTAGTAATCACAAAAAATGTGGAAAATACATGAACCTGGGACTGACATGACGGAGAAACATTTCCAATTTTGTTAGAAAGTACGTAGAAAATGGGAAAGATTTCCATATACGAAGTTCACTCCACACCTTGTGTACAAACCCTATGAGATTGGACTGAAAAATTCTAAGTGTTTTCTAAGAAAATGCTTGTATTTTCTCACTGCTCAAATTGACTTTGATGACATGAAATTGCTATCTGGGGGCTTGTTAGTCAATACAGAGGAAAATTAGTGAACTTTGTATATGGAAATCTTTCCAAAGAATGTAAGCAACTCTTGATATAATTTGTACACAACAAACAAAAGAAGTGGCGTCTGATTACTTGATTCCTTCCAAATGTTTAATGTATATTATTATAGGCCTACATGTACATTGACATTCGCAATCGTGATTTTGCAATATCACAACATTACGATAACATCACAGTTTAAAAAGCTGCATTACGGCTGCCATACTGATAGATGCTCTTTGCTACCAACACTCAATGACAGAATAACAGTCACAGACATGATCACATGCAAAGCTGATAGACAGTCATCATGGTCATGACAGATGGCAGAAATGTCAGACATCAGAAGCAGTTGCCCACACCATGTGAAAAAAGGGAGAAACGACCAGATGAGAATCCGGAAAGCATGGAAAGAATGATGCATCTTAACACCACTATATAATAATATAATATAATATAATATCTATATCAATCATGTCAATATCTCAACGAACATGACAAAAGCCAGTCATCATGGTCATTGCAAAAATGTTGAAAAGACATGCATTTTGGGAATGAGATCTGGGGAAAGATTTCCATATACGAAGTTCACTCAACACTCTGTGTACAAACCCTATGAGAGTGGACTAACAAATTCTAAGTTTACCAAGTGTTTTCTAAGAAAATGCTTGTATTTTCTCACTGCTCAAATTGACTTTGATGACATGAAATTGCTATCTGGGGAGTGGGGGCTTGTTATGTTATGTTAGTCAATACAGAGGAAAATTAGTGAACTTCGCATATGGTAATCTTGCCTCAATGTCAAAGTGGCGTCAAGATACATACATTCTTTCCGAAGAGACTAGCTACAACTTTCAACTAATGAAAGAGCACAGCAAATGGAAAGTCTATTCCATACAAAATTACCATGTCGGTGCATAGATCTCCCATCATGCCCATTGACAATGACATGGGCGAAAGTTTCGTAACGACAACTTGTGGTGTCCAAAGTTTCGAGTTCGACTGCAAACCATCATGATTTCTCTCCACCAAAACACCCACATTTTGCCTTACCCTACGTTTCTTTGACACCGGACTCACTGCTGCACTGGGCGCTCTCTTCGTTTGCGGAATTTTCGGCATGATTTTCGGAGTGGATTTGTAGAAATTTGCGGTTCCTAACATTCCTGCACGGATTGCGAGTGAAATTTGTTATGTAAGATCAATCGGGCGCGCGCTATTCCATAACACGCGCGCTTTATTTCCACATGTCATGTCACTGACCTTAGTGGTCCAACCTCGTCCCCGGTGTTTACTCTATCTTCACCCTCGTAGTCGTAGAGCAGGTGATGGGAGCGTACTTCTCAACACCATCGGACCGAGGCTGCAAGGTGCAAGCAGTTACCAGTCTGTAATCGAAGACGTGTAGGTACCAGACTTGACCTCCCTCTGTTTGCGCGTCATATATTTTTAGCACTGCACCAGACTTAGGGGAATACCCGAAAACGTAACATTTTGCAAATTTTGGGCTGGGTTTGAGAAATCTGGGAGTGGGAATGTTCGATGTGAGAAATTCATTTCTCCTCACCGATCTGCGCCGCTGTGTGTAACTTCTTGAGCTGTGATGTCTACACAAGCCAGCAAATCTACTAAAGACGCTCCTTCTAAACGTTCCTCCCGACTGAAACTGACAAAATCTCGAACCAACAACAGCGGCAAGAGCAAGAAAAAGAGCCAGGTAAAAAAATCTCCAGTTGCCAATCAAAATACAAAGTCAAACAAGTTGACTATTTTTATGCCTGTAATATGAATAATTTTAATACTAAATACTAACCATGCCTTTTTAGTTTAGATCAAAGAAGGCCTGCTGCAGGCAATTGACATCTTTGTTAATATAATATTTTGATTGTGAATTGTTCGAATATTCTTCGCAATCTTTGTCATGTTTGTCATGTTTGACTTTGTAAAAAGATGGAATAAATGTTGGGCGCAATTGACCTATCCTGGTAGAATCACGTTAGAATCGCGTCCACGCAGCTTGTGAAAATTGTCCAATTACAAATGGACGCAGAATGCGCAACATCTGAGCAAACTAATAAAACTTGCTGTACAAAAAATCCATAGGGTTGAAGGGGCGTGGCTAACTCGCAATGGGTCGATTCTGTAGGATATCTCGGACTTTACTTATTTTACATGTACCTTTTGTTAAAAAAAATCCTTCAGAGTTGTGGATAAGAAAGAAAAGGTGTTCGACTGGTAGTGGTAGCCCCACTCGCACCAGCACTAGCAGATTAGTGTGGCGTCGGTATTGCTGCGTCTTTGGCCACACATTAATACGCAGACCAATCTACTGAGATCTGAGGAGATTGTCATTTACTGGCGCATACTGCGCTTACGGTACAAGTAGCTCTACTGAGAACTTTGGTACCCTCCATACTAACGCTCCACCAATTTGGCATACTTCGGTGACTGGTACACGGCAGCATTTTGTAGGCTACATACCCACATGAGGACAAAAGGCCCCCCCCCCCAAAAAAAAAAAAACGGTAAAGAGAATACAAATGAGAGACACAGTTACCCTGGTCGGATCTACACATTCATGACATTCCATAAGACCCCTTAAAGTGTTCCAAAAAGCGACAATTTTAGAGGAAAAAAAACGGGCAAAATAGTCTGAAAACTTACCGCTCAATGTGCTTGCCGTGTTGTTCAGTCCATTCTCTGCTCTTCAGTAAGAGGGCGCCCTCAATCATATGAAAATCAGACTCTATGAACATCGGACTCCTTTTCCCTTTTACTGGTTAAAACCTGTCATGTGATCGGGCGATCACCTCCCAATTATCTCCCAATTAGTACTACCAATGAGTCCGTATTTCATAGAAACCTACATGTAAATTCACACTACACCTGTCTGGCGACTGTTGCTTGACTTCGGTAATCCTCGGTGTATAGTACGTATGAATAGTCTCTGGTGGTGGACGTGTAAATTATACACGTTTCATGTATCAGTTGTCCCCATTGTCCATGGCGGTAGACCGTGTGTTGAACTTGAACTTGGCCACTGTACATGGCCTGTCATCGTAGCAAATAATCGCTCCATGGTGGGGGCCTTGGCATAATGCAAAATAAGTTACGGTGAGAAGTATCGTACTAACTTGATCGTACTACACTTGACTCTCAAGAGTCAGTATTCGTGTTGTTTGACCTAATTTTAAAATTTAGCCGATATATCTTGTCTTTTTCATAAACTTAGTATTTTTTTTCGGCCCAAAATAATCCTGCCGTTAAGTGGTTAAGAAGGATGCATGATGAACAACTACATTTTTTTTCATAAACTTAGTATTTTTTTTCGGCCCAAAATAATCCTGCCGTTAAGTGGTTAAGAAGGATGCATGATGAACAACTACATGTACATTAACCCTAACAGAACTCAACCCATCAAACCCCAACAGCATGTATTGTTGGAATCTGTCCGGATGGGTACAGTACCCCTAAACTGACAGTCTTTTACATTGGGTTGGCACAACTCCAGAATCAAAGTCAGAAATGTGTGTACACAGTTTCCCATATGGTGTTGGAATTTGCCAGGATGGGTATGGTTCCTAGTAAATCATGCCAGGGAGTTAAGGTTAAAAACTTGTTGAAGCTTCAGTTCACTGAAAACTATGCATTTCTGGAGGTCTCATAACTACCATTGCTAATTAAATGCACGAAAAGAAAAAACAAAAAACTGTACAGGTCTACATGTACATCTTCTTAAACTACATGTACATCATACATGATTTTGTTTTCTTCCGAATGATACCATTTGGGGTACATTATGTGAAGAGTTTAAATGCGATCGATATCCATTTAAAAAAAGTAAAACATTTGCAAGGTTATAAAACATTAATTTAACCCTAACCCCCTAGGCCCTTTTTGCCAAGACCCATCCTCAATCCTCCAAAATCCTCACAAATTTTGCAACAGCACCTAAATTCTTCAAAATTGTCAGACAGTCCTGCCTTAAAATGCATTCATCCTCAATCCTCCAAAATCCTCCTCATCCCAAAATGTTGCACTCGTGTTTAAATGAAGGATAATTAACTGCCTAAATCCTTCAAAATCATCAGACAGTCCTGACTCAAAATGCATTCATCCTCAATCCTCCAAAATCATCCTCATCTTCAGACACCATTCATCCTCAATCCTCCAAAATCCTCATGTGATTCAATCACCATTCATCCTCAATCCTCCAAAATCCTCATGTGCTTCAATCACCATTCATCCTCAATCCTCCAAAATCCTCATGTGATTCAATCGCCATTCATCCGCAATCCTCTGGAATCCTCCAAAACCGCCAGGAGGATTTTGGAGGAGTGAGGTGGGTTTGAAACCAGTATACATTAACAGCTGTTTCTAAACTTCCTGTTTTTTTTTTTTTTGCCTTATTGTATTCTTAGTTTGTATCTATTATTGACAGAGTCTGTCGAAATTGACTTTGTGCAGCCAGCAGAGGCGGGATTCTAAAAGGGAAAAAAAATATGTATTTGGAACTCAGTCCTAAAACATCTTCACTTTGAGCCAAGATTTTCTTATGCGTTTATGTCGATTGGAACATTTCCCCGTAATTGCAAATGTTCCCAGCCAGAGCCAATTTTGGAAACAGTGCAATGCAACATCAGTGCAGTGCTGTGTTACAGCGCCCTCATGTGTTGATAAACACAACATGGTATTTGGAAACTTGGTTGGCCCTAATTGACCAGGTTTTGTTTTGTCTGCCGCTCACCTTGCCATTGATATGGACAGATACAGTAACACATACCGTCCCACGGTACGTGTAGTGTGCGGTATGGCACCTACCCCACATGGAACAGCATCCTCGACTCCAAATATAGGGGTGTCCGTCCAGTGGCGCAACCAGGATTTGGCTGGGGGGGGGGGGGGGGCTCAATTTTCTTTTTAGAAATTTGAACTTTTTCAAAAAATGGTGCCCAAAATTTGTGGCAGAAAAAAAAATTGGATTTTTTTTGGGAGGGGACTGACTATTTTGATGGTTGCGCCATTAACACCCCTATTATACTACTTGGAAAAAAAAGATGTGGCCTGATATTATGAACAGTGCCCCCAGTGTTGAATTATGTCCAGCCCCCTAAACATGAACACTCAAACGTGAATGTCCAGAACACGTCTTTTGTTTTAATAACTTGAAGTAAAAAAAAATCATACAGTGTGCATTGCAAGTAAGTGGCAAATTTATTTCGGGAGCCAACAGGATGACCCTTGTAGCCAAATGTTCATTATATCGGTATTCGTTATAGCGGTGTTTAAAGTGAAGATACAGCATTTGCATACATAAAAAAAACGAAATGATCAAATTATCACAAAATATCTTACTTGATGGTTAGGGAATGACATTCTAAAGCACCCTGTAAAACCGTGGCTCCTGGTGTGCTGACATTTTCAAGAAAAAATGTATTTTTCCAACACTGGTCTGCCGACCAGCATTGGAGAAAACTGGATTTTTTTTCAAAATTTTCCTAATTTCTCATATTTAGTTCGTCTGCATTTTCTTTGCAATTGATTACACACCTGTGAAGACTACAAGCCGGCTAGACTGATTCTCTGACCTTACAATTCCCCAAAGTTGACTTGAACTGCTCCGTTTCATCTTAAGTGGGGTCTGGGAACCAGACTACAAGAACATGATGTTCTTCTTGGTTTTTCCCGCATCTTCAAGCCCAAAACGTGAAACAAATCAGTTTAACAATATTTGCTATATACATGTAGCATTCTAATCCTCCAAATCCACTTAATACTGAAAGTTGCAGCAAGAGCAAATTCGTACATTCCCTTTAGTTGCATTTAAAACTTTTTAGATTGAGAGAAAAAAAACCTCTCAGGGGAGGGGGGGGGCAGGATGGGGGGGGGGGGGGACACATGCGCGCATCACAGTGTTTGGTATATAAATATGTACATACGGTAAGTACAAATGTATGTACTTGGCCTTACTACTTCATTGTTAATTATGCAACTACCGGTAGCTAGAGGCTGCCGTATGTAAAGTGATACGGCCAACTCTCCCAGTTTCTTTCAAATAAGTCTTGAATCTGTTTACTTATCCCTGGGAAATGATTATTAATGAACACTCAGAAACAAAACACCTGTCAAGGTGGGGGCTTCCTTTCTCCCTCTTACCCCCCCCCCCCCTTCCCAACTCACCCCCTCTTGTAAAACGGAGATGATTTGACTTTAAAATGATGAAGGTGGTTTACACTGTCAGCAATACCTTCCTACTGAAACTTAAGGGGCCACACGT